CGACAGATTTCTCGGTTGAACAGTATCAGTTCGTATGTGGTGAACGCAGCTCTTCGTCCGAAAAATCCAAACCAATCTGCATATTTCGCAGTTCGCAAGTATACGCGCGTTCACTGACGAACAGTGCTGCTTCTAATGGACGCAGTCTAACCTGATGCAAGCTGTTAGGATCGTTCAGCCGTTTCTGTGCGTGTTCGGATGAACTCCTCATCGCAACTTTCCACAGCTTTCTGCTTCCAATGGACGAGAGGCCTTATAACTTCTACTCTTCACCAGGTATAATTACAATGAGGAATTCAAGGATGATGAGATGTGCAGGATATGTAGCGTGCATGGAGGTGAAGATGAATACATGTTGGGTTTAGGTGGGGAAGCCAGAAGGAAAGAGACCACTAGGAAGACCTAGACATAGGTGGGTCGATAATACTAAAATGAATCTTAGAGTTATACATACGGATGGTGTGGACGTCTGGCTGGGGACAGGAACTATTGGAGGGCTCATGTGAACGTGGTAATGAATCTTCAGGTTCCATAAAATGTTGGGAAATTCTTGAGTAGCTGAATGACTGGAGGATCCTCAAGAAGGGCTCAGCTCCATGGAGTTATTTTCATTCTGTGTTGGACATCCTGTTGTATCACAAGTATGTGGTATGTCTGTCAATCACAACTTTTCATTTTCAATAAATGATGTTTATTGAAATGTTAGTACACTACATGTTTTGGCCATTTAGACCATCATCAGGTACTTCATAAACAATGTGAGAAATGTTGTGTCCACTCTGCACTGCTGCCAGGTTTCCTCCATCATTGAACAAATTGTATATGCTGTTTGCCTATGGCTTATATCAGAAAAATAAAAAAGTAATTTGTACTTTCAGGGTGCAACAGGTGCTATGTCAATCCTGCTTAAGGATGCCATCCAACCAACACTCATGCAGAGCCTGGAAGGAACTCCTGTCTTGGTCCATGCTGGCCCATTTGCTAATATTGCACATGGCTGTTCTTCTGTTATAGCAGATGATGTTGCACTCAAACTTGTTGGACCAGGTGGCTATGTTGTGACTGAGGCTGGGTTTGGCTCTGACATAGGTAAGATATAGTAAGCCTCTGATTTGTGATGTAAGCAACATATGCAATTAAGTGACGTAAAAGCAGCAGTACATCTGGGCATGAACACATCATCGTTTTATATATATTTGTGTGTGTGTGTGTGTGTGTGAATTGTTCTTACAGCTGTATCACTATTAATAAAATGTTCATAAAACCATATAGCTACTGTTGTCCTTTGATATAATACATATTATGTATTTCATTATTTTGTGATATTGTCTTAGATCTGTGTTCGTATACTACAGTATAAGTTCATAATAAAGCCTTGTGGAACTTCGACACTAGTAAGGAGTTTGGTCTAGAAGTAAATGCAGAGAAAACTGAGTGTGTGTTGCTGTCTTATCACCAAAATGCAGGGCAAAATTATGACATAAAGATTGCTAACATATCCTTCGAAAATGTGGCATAGTTCAAATATTTAGAACAACAGTAACAAGTCAAAATTTGATTCAGGAGGAAATTAAGAGTGAATTTGAGCATTGCTTGGTACCATTCAGTCCAGAACCTTTTGTCTTCGCATTTGCTGTCTAATAATGTAAAAATTAGAATATACAAAACTATAATTTTGACTGTGGTTTTGTATGGGTGTGAAACTTGGTCTCTGATATTAAGGGCAGAACATAGACTGAGGGTGTTTGTGAATAAGGTGCTGAGGAGAATATTTGGACCAAACAGAGATGAAGTGACAGGAGGTGAGCTTCATAAATTATACTCTTCACCAAGTATAATTAGAATGATCAAGTCAAGGAAGGTGAGATGGGCAGGGCATGTAGCACAAGTGGGGGCGAAGAAGAATGTATAGAGGATTTTGGTGGTAAGCCAGAAGGAAAGAGGCCACTAGGAGCACCATGACGTAGGTGGGTGGATAATACTAAAATGAGTCTTAGAGTTATAGGATGGGATGGTATGGACTGGATTGATCTGGCTCAAGATAGAGACCAGTGGAGGGCTTTTGTGAACACAGTAACAAACCTTTTTGGTTCTTTCTTGAGTAACTTCACAACTGGCTGCTTCCCAAGAAGGGCTCAGCTCCGTGGAGTAAGTTTAGTTAATAAGGCCTTCTGGAAAAAATGCATAAAGCCCAATTTACTATTCCACTGATTTCCATTGTGACAAATTTTGTCTTGTTAATGTTCCATTAGCGGCCTCCGTAGTCTAGAGGTAACGTTCCCACCTCATGACTCGTGGTATGCGGGTTCAAACCCGGCGGAGGTCAACGAATTTTTAAGGGCGGAAAAATTCAGGGAACGAGTCCTTCAGGAGGGACTTCAAACCGTGTGTCCCATGTTGTAGCTTTACAGCATGTAAAAGAACCTCATATCTACAAAGGAGGTCACTGAGCCAAATTCAAGGACGTTTCCTGCCCAACAAGTAGTATCTAACACCTGTGATAGATGGGGGAAGCATTATAGATACCGCCAAGCTAGTGGAGGCTGAACTTGCTGGCTCGGTCGGGACTGATGGTATGCACCAATATCGGTAGGATATAGAGGGTGGTAGAATATCGCAGAGGGAAGCACAATGGACCAATACTGGTGTAAGTGCATGGGAAAACCCACCCTCTCCAGTAACTAACTAACTAACTAACTAACTAATGTTCCATTTATAAGTATATTTTTAAGTTATGTTCCAGCAGCGGAAAGTAATTTACCTCATCCATTGATATGGTAGGCTGGTGTAGATGATCACAGAATTGAATTGTACTTCATTTACAGTAGTTTCAATATCTGCAGTTGCAAATTCTGTGAAACTTCGATTTTATGATCCCAGATTTTGCATTGCTGACCACTTTACACTCTTTGCATGTTCCCATCCTGATGTTCATAACAGTAAGAACGGGACACCTCCAGAAACTGAAAGAGATGACTCGGGAAAAGTGTGGATCCCAGAAGAGATTGGTTGTTGCCCATAGAGGGACAACCTACCGTGCGAAAGTGGTACAGCACAAGGAAAACTTCATTGGGAGAAAGTGGACCAGGGACAACATGGTACTAGGAACCTCGAAAGGATGGGTACTCAGGAGGAAACAAGGGCCGCAACAGCAATGTGACAGACGAATAACAATCAAGACTGTTCAGGACAGACAGCCTTAAGGAGGGAGCAATGTGAGATGCCGCCTAAAAGCCAGAATATCTGAGTGGGCGTCCATTGATAGACAACAGCTTGTTAAAGCACGTTTCCAAGACAGTGATACAGAGACGTCCATTGCCTGTCAACGGCTCAATAAGTGTTGTCCTTGCAACAACCAATAGCTAGAGATAAAATCAACACGTTACCTAAAAATGAAAACGCATTCCCATGGCAATGAATAGATCCACTACTGTTACACTAGTTAACATGGGAAATGAAACCCTTCAACCCTTTGAGTCCATTCGACTGTAAAGGATAAGAGACCAGACCAGACCAGACCAGAGGAGAATTGAGAACCGGTCAGATCAGCGGAGACCAGAGCAGTAGAAACTAGCTCAGCCAAGAACTAGAAGACAAAATGTGAGGGATGATGGACTAGTCAGGTCACATCATCTGGAGGATGCTATTTCAGAGTGATTGTAATTGTGATTATAATGACTTATCCAATAAACATCTTCGTCTAATCTGGAATCCACAATTATTTGTCATGGAACCCCAGACACATGACAGTATAAAGTACCTCATTATGCAGTTTTCTCCACCATCCTGTCACTTCTTATACTTTAAGTCTGTACTCTCCTCAGCATCCAATTCTCAAGTACTCTCTGCTCAACTCACCTTCCCTAAATGTGAGAAACCAGATTTCACAGCCATATAAAAATGAAATACCATTGAGTTGTGTGTCTGTCTATGTTTCTGTTTTTAGGCAGGGAACAGGTAAAAATATATTTCGAACAAAATGGTAGGAAGCATTTCCTACATTCAGTCTTGTCTTAATTTCTGTGTGAATTCAGTTTTGATTTTTTATTGCTCTTCTGACAATTTTTAAGAATTTATTGTCAATTTTTATATTGTGTTTTTGTGCTGTGTGCTGGTGACACGATGTTAACATGTACAAGGAAAGTAAAAATATTGTATACACAGTCTTGTGTTTTGTGCTGTTTTGTTCATTACTGTCTTGATTTATTTTAACCAGGAATGGAGAAGTTCTTCAACATAAAGTGTCGATATTCAGGAGCAATACCTAATGCTGTAGTATTAGTAACTTCAGTAAGAGCTCTGAAGATGCATGGTGGAGGACCCACTGTAACTCCAGGCATTCCACTAAAGAAGGAGTATTTGGAGGTAACTGCTTTTCAACTGTCTGATAAAATGGGCTTGTTTAGTGGCATGAGTATCGCTTTATTCCTATGTATCAGCTTTTCTGTTATGATATACATTGACATCTATAAGGCTTTGAAGGCAAATAGAATATTAAAAGGAAAGAAACTGTTTTTTGCATTCTTGGAGCCAGGATATGACAGTATAATGACTAGGTTATGAGCTAGATGCATGGGCTTTGATTGCTGGCTGAGGTAGAGATGTTTCTTTTCACCATCTTGTCCAGACTGGCTCTGGAACCATCCTAGCCTCACATTGAATGAGTAATGGAAGCTCTTCTCTTGTAAGAGGCCAGTTGCCCCTATCAAGTACTGAGGTTCAAAATGTATACAGCTGTACCACTAATCCCCCATACACCTTAATGTAATGCTTAATTAAGCACAGGGCCAAATTTACCTTTAGCATAAAAACGGTCTTGCTTGCATTATTTAACAAATTCAGTGTTTTATTTCATTTTCCTGAGATATGAAGAAAAGAGGAAGTGAGTGAGTAGAAATTTGCAGGATTTATTAGTATGGTGATACATCATTTAGTAACCGTAATTTTGAATTCCAAGTTTGGTTCACTAAAGGCATCTTAATACAGATTCACAGACTACTGATTACCATCTCACTTACCTGTGTCAGTATGGTTTGTTTATGAATAAAAGTTGCAGTGACTATTAAAAAATAAGCAAGTTAATGAAGAGGAATGGGAAAGAAGTTGAAAATGTTAGAATTAACTACAGTACAACATAGATATTACAAGAATTTATAAAATTCATAAAAATGCTTTTCTAATGGATGGTTACAATGTTTGAAAATGGTTGAAAATTGTTCAGTTATATATAATAACAGTGCAGCACAAAGATTTGTATAATAATGCATGTATGACAATATTCCTACTTTTGTGTAGTTATCATGGGGACATGAAAATAATGAAGAATAATTGAACGTTCTCATCACCATTAGCATTATCTGAACTGAAGAGTTGAAGATTTTTTTTAAACTTACTTAACGTCTGCTACCTGCAACCGGCTGCTAATTAGGAACTTTCCTTTATGGGCAAAAGTCCCTCATACTATTTGCTACACACTCACAAATCCCACCTCCATTCCACCCAGAGTTTGCTGCATATGGATGCATGTTTGTACTGAACTGGAGTAACAGACATAACACATGAAGCAGTTGAAATCCCACTAATACTTTACAGTGTGTTATGGATTTGTTCTAAGTGTCACAATTGGAATACACAACTTTCTGACATTAAACATATAAAATCTGTCCAGTCACACTATGGCCCTAGGGTAAACTCAGACTCTTTAACAGAAATGAGTACCAGGAATCTTCTTGGGGTTAAAGGGTGGCCAGCGCATCAGGCTGACAGCATAACTGCCATCTGTGAGCCAATTGTTTAGAAAATGTGGAAGCCTTGACATCTCAACCATATGGGTCTCCACTGCCTGTTAACAGGGATAACTTTATCTTTACCTTAAGAAATGACAATGAAGCCTTCATTGAACTTGTATGTATGAGTAAAGCAGATGTTATGATAGTAGCACAGAAACTGTGTATGAACTCATAGCCATTTAATTTTCTAGCTTAATCAGATGAACACATTTACCACATGTGAAGTGAAAATGACCCTCCTTATAACATGTAGTTAGGATTTGAACTGTCTTTAGCTCCCACACAAATGATGTTACACTTGCAGCACAGATAACAAGATTACAAAACAAATATCACCAATATTTATGCATGAAAAAAGAAACTGTGTTAGTTTGCATGGGTTTAATATATGCTATATATTCTCTCTGCCAACTTAACACATGTTTACTAGTATTATTTCAAACATATTCAAGTCAATTTTCCCTTTCACTAACATAATTGTCCCCCCCCCCACAATCGCTATCAGCATTAACCAAAATGTAGTCGATGTTTAGTTGGAATGAAACCATGAACATACAACTTTGTAGTTTTATTCAACGACACTGTTCAGCCTAGATCTCTGGAAGCCCAAGGGAAGAGGAAACCTATGTGACAAGGAGGGGAAGATACTGCATAGTGCCTCCATAAACTGGAATTTAACTAGCCATGTGACACAATACACAAGGGAAACATTTTTTAATATTAATGCAATTGTACTTATTATTTGCTTAAAATATCACCATGTATTTAATCCTGCTTGATTTTCCTTTAAATATTTCTTCTGTGAAAGACCAATGTGTTGTTCTTTTGCTCCATCCATAATTATATTTGCTTACCACTTGAAAAGTGTTACATATAACAAAATTCTGCGGATCCACATTTGTTGCATTTTTGTTCAGGATGTCTTTGTGAAGGGCTTGTTGTGTTTAACTGAGAAATTCATTACTATGGAGGTTTCATGCATATGCTTTTAAATGGTAGAAAGGAAATAAGTAGCAGAAATGTGTAGTGTATATTGATTCTCCTAAGTTTCTTTCAGAGTTTTGTAACATTTTAATGATATTTTCCCCCCCCCCTTGGCACTACAGCCCCAGTAGGCCTAGGCCTACCTCCATGAACTTCTCCATTCACTTCGGTTTTTCTAGATCTTACGCATTCGGTAGGACTCCTTGGGCGGGTTATCAGCTCGTCGCAAGGCCTCTACCTGTACACAAACACAGAAAAACGCACACACACAAACTAAACATCCATGCCCTGAGTGGGATTCAAACCCACGATCCCGGTTTCCAAGCAAGCGAAGACAGTACATGCCTTAGACCACTTGACTACCATGACTGGTTTAATGATAATTACAAAATACATTTTTAACCCTTGTAACATTGACATAAGGGAGATTCATATATGTGATAATGAATAAAATCTGTAACTGTAGAGACCTTAGTATAGTATATGTTCTTTTATTTATTATTCTCTTTGTCTGTTTCTCTTAGTATTGGTAGCACTTTTGCTTTAGGGTCAAAAGCAGTAAATGAAAAATAAGAGGGCATATGCACTTTCAAATTGTTATCCAAAACAGATATTTTCATTCTAAATATTATATTAATGTTTTTCAATGGCAAGGTTTTCAGGATAAACTTAGACTCCTCTTACATCCCAATATAATTGACTGCAATTTTTGGATTTCTTATAACATTTTTATATTCTAACAGATTGTCTGTGTCCATTACTACATATTCTGTGTGCTATTAATGAGTACCTAACAGACAATGCATTTAGAAAATTTTCCAACCTTTGTAGTAACTATAAGTAATAAGCATGTATGTTCATATTAGGAAAACCTTGAATTACTTGAAAAAGGATTACCAAACCTCCAGAAACACATCAGCAATGGCGCAAAGTTTGGAATCCCAGTTGTTGTCGCCATCAATGCATTCCAGTAAGTAGACCCATTTGTTTCATCCTCAGTTTTCAAAGTGGGACTGTTAACATTTTACTGTTCACAGAGAAAAGCCCATTTAATATTTTATATTGGAACACTGGATTTTAACACTGAAAGGGGAGAAACCTAACTGGAAATAATTTAACACTATGATCGTTGAAACTGAACATTAAAGGAGGGAAAATTTTAAATCAGGGAACCTTCCAGGAGGTTTCACTGTATTGTCTTTGGTTTTGATAAATTTCATTCAGAAATTATTATTTTTTTAAGGACTGACTCACAGGCTGAGTGGAAGTTGTTGGAGAAGACAAGCTTGGAAAATGGAGCTTTCTGTGCTGTTATCTGCAAGCACTGGGCTGAAGGTGGAGCTGGCGCCTTAGAATTAGCTGACGCTGTTATTGAAGCATGCAACAAACCTACAGAATTCAGGTGCAGTATACTGGTAGTTCTTAATATCTAAAACAGGCAGGTGTAAGTGAAACCTCCACAGAATGAATTCTGGAGACAGTTAAACATATATATATATATTGTAACGTGTATCATTACTGAAGACTCTGTAGAGATTGTTAATTGGTTTATTTAAGAACCTACAAATCTCGGCTACAATTAATTATAACACAGTTGCGGGGTTTCACACTTTCTAACCCTATTCACAAATCAAATCACTCCATCTTCAAGAGTCTTCACGTTTTCGCAGTACGGGAGCTATACAAGTCTCTCTGAATTACGCACTCCAAATATAACTCTACTATAGCACACACAAAGTCTTGAAAGCACACAATAAGTCTTCCACTCACTGACTTCTTAGTAACCTTGTAATCTTGTAACCACGCGTTCGGGTCTGCTTACCGCGACTGCTGCTATATTTCAACTCAACTCGTAGGCTGCTGGCTTGAGAACTAACTTCGGTGGCTGATACGCTTTAACTGACTGCAACAACTGAATTCGCCGACGGCCACATTTCAACTCACCTCTGTAGGCAGTGTGGTTCACTTATATAGTCGCAGCGCTTGCCTGTTATGCAATCGGTACCGCTGTTGGCTGTTACCCGTGTCACAGCTGCGTTGCGTGTTACGTCACCGTGCAGATGGCAGTGATGGAGCGCTGACTCACCCGCCACGTCACTGCTGGGGGGAAGGGGTTCTCCGTTGCACAACATGTCACACTATATATATATATAATGTCACATGCTGGGTGTATAACGCGACAAATAACTTCACACCTTATTGGATATAGCGAATGTTATTCCACACTCACTCATACAATCACAAAGTTTACAATCTCACAAGTACTGCCATCTGCAGTATTACAAATACTAGACTGCATACTCTTCCCTGGCCAACTCGTAACGCGTAACTAACTTGAATAGTCTTCACTGCTCCTTATTTAGCCCCGTTATGGACAACACAGAAAACAGTTACGTAATAGGCACCCCTGTTGTCTGGCGCCGTGTTTGCCGATAGCCTAGCAACGCTGTCAGGAGTTGTTTAGTGCTGAGTAGCAACGGCGGCATCCCGTGTTACATCACCGCCTGTGGGGTGGGCGAAGGAGTGTTGACTTGCCTGTTACCTGAGTAATAACAGAGATCCAATGGTGTTACGTCACTGCTGGAGGGGGGGAGGGGTGTCCTGCATAGCGCAACACGTCACACTATATATATGGAACTTCTAATAATTGTGTTCTGTTGTTATGCAAAGCCTATTCATGGTAGAAAGATTTACTGCATGTCATGAAGTACTGTTGAAGAGCAAGAGGAAAAGATGTTAAGGTAGATAATTCATATTAGAATAATAAGCTCAAGGAATGGAACATTTGACCTTATTATTGTAATAGTAACATTATTCCAGACATAGGCACACTTTTTAATGTATGACCCATAAGAAGAATTATTCAAAAAGGTTTGTGATCTGATTCATGATAGTATGCTACACCAGTAAGAAATATGAAATAATATCAATTATGCAATCATTTTTACATTTTTATTACTAAGAATTTAATACCATATTGATTGCATATGCATCTGTCCATGCATCAAGGATGAATTTCAGAAAAGTTTTCACAACCTCACCAGTTTAACTCTTTTAAGTCATAACTGTACTTGTGACTGCATGCATTTGTGTTAATATGGTAGTGGTGGACTTCTGAATGAAGATAGTTACACCATTACATTTATGTCAGTAAAGAACTCTTTTGAGTACTGGGGAGAAATGCCCTCATTCTGGTGAATAAAATAATGGAGCAGCAGCAGAAAGACAAGATTATGGGATTTATAAGTATAAAAATTTCTCAAACCTCTGAGATAACAACACTATCTTTGGGGGCCTGGTAGCACACTCTGGGAAGTTCACACAGGATAAACGCATGATTACATGAAACTGAAATACAAGACTTTGTCTAACAAATTGAATATTCAGCAAATACAAGATTCAAAAGTTTAATTCCAAAGCACCAGGTACTTAATATGCTTAGTTATTTATATTTATTCTGAGTATTTGAAAGTATCTGTTCATAGTTTTGATTGGTAACTTGGCATGGTTTTTTGTGGAAGAAAACTTACTAGTTTTAATGGGCCAGCGTATCTTTGAGAACTAAATGTTTGCATTTTGTCATTCAGATTTTTGTATGATCTCGATCTTCCTTTGGAGGACAAGATAAGGAAGATAGCACAAGAAATGTATGGTGCTGGTGACATTGAGCTTTCGCCTGATGTACGGAAACTGCTTGAAAACTACAATAAACAGGTGAGAGAATTAACGGTTTTAATGTATTAATTTAGCAGAGAATTTTAATCATTTTGAATGAATTGATTGTAAGGGAGTTTAATGCAGTGGTAGTGATTGGCAGGTCTTTTGGAAGGACTTGGTTCAGACCTTGGCTCTTATTTATCCTCAGGGGTTCTTGTATTTTTTATGTAGTTTCTGCAGGCAAATGGCACGATTCGAAAAAGAATCTGGCACTTCACTTTTATTGTTTATTTCCTCACAAAAGACACTGTTATTTTGATGTTCTAACAGCAGTTGCAGTGCGGATGATGCCATGGGATTGTAGTTTTTTTGTTAAGAGTGCTGGATTTATTACATGTAAAGGCTATTTCATCACAGCAGGCAATCCGTGAAGGTCTGCTAACCACCCCACCCTATGATACCCTTCCTTAGGAGAAGGATTGCTTTCCAAAACCTAACTGAGCAATGTACCCCTCCAAATGTACGTCACATGATATTGTTCAAATTTTCTCCGCAGTCCAGTAACTTATTTCATTGTGGGCTGCCACTTTGCTAGTCAAATTTTAGTATAAACACAGGCATCATGAAGAATCTTTGCCTCTAGTCAGACAGGTTTTCCCTTCACCTGAGCTTCCAGTGGCCTAGGTTGGATGATGAAATCAAAAACACAGCTGAGCATGCACATGTTTAAGGTTATGTCCCCATCAGTCTAATGTATTTTGGCTTTAACTAACTGCAGAATCTTGGAAAATTACAATTATGGCAATGAAAGGGATGGCTTTCAAGTTGAATGTGGAACTTGAAATAATACTTGTTTGTGAAATTGAAAGTATGTCAAAAATAAAACAGGTAGGTGGCATTGATGAACCTCTGTGATATTGTTTATGATATTGAAGAAGAGAAAATACGGTTTACACTAAATCCAAGCAAACTAAATGCTGAGATACTTGTGATACCAATTCAGTTGATTTTGCCTGTTCCAAATACAACAGAATAAAATTAACAACTATTAGTTGCACTTCATTATCATACAGAAGCTTGCCATTTTTATTACACAAATGTATTGCATTTACTCGTGCTGTATTTATATTGCCATAGTCAGGTACATGGGTGAAATTATGGCTTCATGACCTCCCCAGCCTGGCCCATTTCACAAAACAATCATGTTGCAAATTTCGCATAATACTGGTAGTGGGCATCTCCTATGTCTGGTTCATGACCATAATGTTAATCCCAGGAGAGCCTGCAGGAATGTGGAAGTTTTACATTGTTATTAAAGAGAATTTTGTCTCTCCATCAACCAACTAGGTTTCTTTTAAGTTTACTCGTCACTCTGCATGAAATTATAGTAATGTCAAACATATGCAGAAGCTTTACTTCAACTATATATCACACCAGAATTGTTTATTTAGTTTGTGGCAGTATATTGCAAGCCATATAGCTTTCTCGCTTGAATTTTCAGGGCTATAACAGGTTACCAGTTTGTATGGCAAAAACACCTCTGTCTCTCACTGGAGATCCTGCAGTGAAAGGAGCACCCACAGGTTACATGCTGCCAGTTAAGGATGTAATTGTTTCAGCTGGAGCTGGTTTTGTGGTTCCAATTGTAGGAGAGGTAAGCTTTAAGTTGCTGGATTTGAGATTCTCACAGTTAAAGATTTCTACGTTATAGGATATAATGCCAGTGTAGTCTGGTGAAAGGCCACTAACCTTACAGGGGAACATACCACTAATTTCTGAAGGTGGAGGCTTTATTTGCTCTTACGTAAGTGATACGTGGTTCCTTTAACACACAAGAAAAACATAGAGTGCCATTGCTAGGAGAGTGGTGAAAGTTCACATTGTCTTCTGCTGTTGCTAGGATACAGGGAGAACAATAATATGGATGAGAAAGGAATGTGATAGGAAGAAGATAAAGAGAGAATGTGAAGACCTGAGGTGAGGGAAAGGGGTAAAAGGGATGAGAGGAATGATGACAGGATAAACAAATAAAAAGAACAAGAAAACAGTAAGGGAAAAAGGAGAGAAGTAGATAAAGATACATAAGGAATAAAGGAAAGGAAGAAGAAAAAAATTATTTTGTTTGCTCTCTTTAATGGGTCATGCACTGGTAGTGATATAATGGAGGAAAATTCTGAGCAGAGCATCCTAAGATGTTAACAACTGGATGAATATTTTAATAACTTTGGGAAGTTTGTGTAAATATTGTCATATATTTAGAATGTTACTGTAGACAGGGTTTGAATTGGTGAACTGGATTTATTGACCACTTGTACACACCACTCGAAACTACACTTTGCAGATCACTGACACACACAGACTAGTGTCGTCAGTCTGGTACAGTATAAACTATTCGTTTCCTTGCAACAGATTTTAACACAGGAACTATAACAGTTTCACTGAATTACACATTCCAAATATCACTGTACTACAGCATATGCAAAGTCCTGCCTTCACAGCCCAACTGCCAGCTGAACCCCAATTCAAAGTCAAAGTCACATTGCGATTGACAGTCAGTCAATCAATCAGTCTTTGTGTCGAGCCCAATCTGGGGCGTATGACCAGATATTTATTGCTGTTTGACAGTTTTAGTCTTGTTTAGTCCTCTGATGAGAAGACAGGTCTGTCTTTTGTCAGAGTCATTGTCTGCAGTGGTAAGTATTTTGTTATAATGTAAAGGATATTTACATTTTACATGTTAAACATGATAATAAATGTATAAAATATATACAGGCCCTCTGTCAGTCCAGGCTCAGTACAGCAGATTATGCCCTATTTCTAGTAACTTCTGCTACAATGACAGTCTAGTCATTTGAACGGTCGTATGCTTGACTGCCGCAAAGTTTAAGCCTCTTATGCTTTCTATGTTGGGCTTTGCCTTGTCCAATATTGTGAACATTTTCGTTATCATGATTTTGTATGACTTCTGCTTGTTGCAATACTAGCTCCCTTCTTTTATTACCACTTTGCACGGACCAAGCAGTAAACATCTTTTCTAAGAATACCTGTACTGTTACTTGCATATCCATTGCTGCAGAAACATGTTTACCAAGCCGTTACCTAGCAAAGGACGTCTCCCCTGGCTCCACTCTCTGGCCTTCAGTCATCAGATCACAATATGTGCCACTTTTGTATGACTTCACCCTTCTTCATGTGGCTGATGCTTGTAATTTTTATACATAAAGTATGTATTTTATCTTTCTTTTTATAGATTTCCATGATGCCTGGCCTTGGGACAAGACCAAATATGTATGACATGGATATTGATGCAGATACTGGTGAAATTGATGGCCTTTTCTAATGATATACTGCTAGACTTTTATGAATCTCTGTGGAGAGAATCTCTCAGTATATTTGAAATAATCACATGCACTTTTACTGAAGTATAATTAAGTGCAGCATCAGTAATCATAAGTAAAGAAAGTTCCTTGCTATAGATTCTGTTCTGATATTGCTCACCTGAAATCTGATGCCATTTGTATGTTTTATTGTCCATGTTAGGATAAGAATAGATTAAACAAGAAATTAGGTCCATGCTAGGAGTCTGGATCCTCATGTGTACAGGAAGTTATTACTAGCAGTGACATCTCTGTATAACATAAAGGAGGATATGATAGAAATGTTGATTATAGTGGTGTAATTGCATGAGCAGAAGAGGTGTTAATTCTACAGTAGCATTAATTTAACATGTTTCACTCCAGGCTTTTGTGTGTTTGAGAACTTAACCAAAATGATTTTCATTTTCAAAACATGCAGTATACTCTGAGATTATTTTGGGATGCCAGAATAGCTCAGTCATTGTACTGAATAGGCTACAGTCTGGATTATATTTTGTGTGTCCTGTTGTGTAATGCAATTGAGGTATTATGGTGACTGTCGACACAAGAACTAATTAATACGAGGTGTATCAGAAAGTTCCCGGACTGGATCAAAAAAGAAATGCTGGCTTAACTTAACTCAGTTTTGGCTGCACATCTTCAAAAAAGCATCCTTGGGAATATGTACGGCATCCCATCGGTTTTTCTATGCTTCAGAAGCACCATGGAAGTCATTTTCCTCAATGCTGTCGAGTACCACTTACGATTCCCTTTGGATGTCAGACACTGTTTCAAAGCATTGTCCCTTCTGTTTCATTTTCAATTTGGGAAACAAAGTGAAATCACAGGGGGCTAAGTCCACCTAGTAGGGAGGATGAAAACGATAACCATGTTGTTGTTAGTCACAAACTGTGTGGTTTTAAGGGACATGTGTGTGGGTGGGTGTGTTGTCATGATGAAGGAGCAGTGCAGCGCGTGTTCAAATTTTCTGTTGAGATCTCCTGGCAAACTCCATAACGGCGACAATCTGCATGGATGAATTCTTGAATTTCTTCAACATTTTCTGTGTTTTGCTGGTACTTGGTCGCCCTGGACATTCATCAACTTCAACTGACACTTAACCGACCTTGAAACATAAGTGCCATTCAGAAACCNCGAGTACCACTTACGATTCCCTTTGGATGTCAGACACTGTTTCAAAGCATTGTCCCTTCTGTTTCATTTTCAATTTGGGAAACAAAGTGAAATCACAGGGGCTAAGTCCACCTAGTAGGGAGGATGGAAACGATAACCATGTTGTTGTTAGTCACAAACTGTGTGGTTTTAAGGGACATGTTTGTGGGTGGGTGTGTTGTCATGATGAAGGAGCAGTGCGGCGCGTGTTCAAATTTTCTGTTGAGATCTCCTGGCAAACTCCATAACGGCGACAGTCTGCATGGATGAATTCTTGAATTTCTTCAACATTTTCTATGTTTTGCTGGTACTTGGTCGCCCTGGACATTCATCAACTTCACCTGACGCTTAACCGACCTTGAAACATAAGTGCCATTCAGAAACTACCATCTGGCTTAAAGCATGTTCTCCAAAATCCACATGAAGCATTCCAAGGGTTTCAGTAGTGGATTTACTGAGAATTATGAAAAACTTGATGCAGACATGTTTCTCAGTTTTGCCATCCATAACAGACAAAATGAAAGACAAAGTCGAAAAGGACTCATATAAAAATAATGCGTGTTCACAGCGCGATGTCACGTGGCAGACTGATGCAATAAGCTTTTGGAAGTGTGACCTTGGCCTCCCCCCCTCATCTTCTTTCACAAAGGCAGTTACAACAATAACAGTGTGGTAACTTTTGATACCACCTCATACAAGAAGTTCTGGGAAGAACTATTCTTCTACTTTCCTTTGATACAACAGAGACCCCACAGACAATAATGTATCCAACAATTCTTCTATTGTTATGTGTATTTGTTCCTGTGGGAACATGTTTACCAAGCAGTTGTCTAGCAGCAATAGCTGGGATACACAGACAGTAATGTGATCATGTCTGTGTATTGCCCCTAATTCCTGAAAGGGTCAGGTGTGGTAAATTGGTGCTCGTCCTCAGGTACATTTGGGGTGAACTGCAGAGAAAACATGTCCATCAGTTGGACATGTTTTCTTTGTGGTCTGTATTATACAAAAGGAAAGTAAATGGTTAGTTCTTCCCAGAACATCTTGTATTTTTACAAAACAGGGAAAGTGGGCTGAAACTGTGTTACTAAAATATTATTTAGCTTTATTATACTGTTAATTAGTTGTGTTGACACTCACCAGAATGCCTTGATTAAAGTTCTGGACAAATGGAATTTGTTTACCTGCAGGGGCATAAATTCTTCTCTTTGCAACTGCATACAGACCAGTTCTGGTCCCCATTTCACTCCTCTTGAAGTGGTAAGTGGCCTGGGTATGAAGCTGATCTCTCACTTGCATATAGCGCTGAGGTTAAGAGCTCATGGTGTGCTGCTTAGATAAGCAAAGAGAGAACTTTACCTTTATAAGATCATTTTGGCCCAATTTTTATAATGAATACCAAATGGAGCATAAATTAAATAGTATATTTTATAACATAAATTGATCAACCTACAGTACACTGAATGTTTTAATGTATTCTGCTGTGGCACAATGAATTTAAGGGAGAAATATGTTATTCCTAAATTTAAATAAGGAAGGTGGAAGTGAATAATAGCACAAGGATCTGAGGACCGATATAAGACAAATTGACATAAATTTATCTTTTGTAGAAATAGATAGCGTTTCAGAGAGCATGGGATGTATAGTGGTTTTTGGAGACATTATAAGCAAAAGTATACATCCTACTTTAGCTTAAGTTAATTTGAAGTTCTCTTACTGTGCCTTCCTTCAAGCTATTTGAGTATAGTAGTTAAAATATCCAACCTGGTTAGTAAGAAATGAATCATGAATATAATGTGCAAAGTTTGGTGTTCATACCAAACAAACATTCCTGTTGTATCCATCATACTATATAAATCTTAAATAGTACCTTTTTTGCCTGCTGGACAATTCTTCTAACACAGATTCACTGCAACATTCCCATTATGATGATCTGTACAGAAGAAATCACATGTTACAGTTTATTTTGTCATAGTATACAGCTAAGTATTTACTCTGAAGTAATGCTATTTTTATTTTTTATACACTACAATATTGTAACGAAAATAGTGAAATGCAATGGAACCCACATTTAATGTTCTTTGATTTAAGATTTTGTCTCATTTTATGTTCAGCTTAAATGATCTGAAGTCAATAATCTCAAGTGCTGAATTTCATCCAGTTACAATTTTCCTTAATTTAGTGTTAAATCAATTGCTCCACAAAGAAACCTCAAACGGATGTTTCACTGTACAACAGTGTTTCTCAACCACCGGGTCACGGCCCTGTACCAGGCCCTCATCTTATAAAAAAGAATTTACCGGGCTGTGGTCTCACAATGGTCGAGAATCACTGCTGCATAAGACCATGCAGCTAAAAGTATGCTTACTTTGAATATTAATCCTCTGCAAGACAGTTGAAATCTAAAATAGAGATTCTGGTGGAAATGTATTTTAAAGCATATTTTTGTTTTGACTGATACTGAAAAATAGGGTAAGATAGTGGTGATGAACGTGATAAAAGTACTCACTTTTGGCATAGGACATATTCTGAAAGATTAGACATTCTAGGTATTAAAGTCACATATACGTCTATTGCTAGCAGATTCTTTATAATATGTTAGCATAAGTATTTCAGGGGTCAAATTAACATGATTTATGCATAATCTCTCATTCAAGATTGATTTTTGCTGCCAAACTGTCGTTATGTCTCATTTTCACACAGTACCTCAATAAATATACCATACTTTTGAAACATCTATTGCCATACAAAACTCTGTACTACTTATTCAATGACACTGGTGTTGCTCCCATCTCGCATAACACCATGTTGGTGCTACATATAGATCACAGGAAGTTAAAAAGTTGGATCGTATCCAGAGCCATGGTGTTCATACCAAGTTTCATGAAAGTTGGTCACTGAGCAAGTGACCTTAAGTGTTAATGCATCTAACTTCTATTTGAGAGTGTTCAGTTTGATTCTTGACCATTTATGTGAACCATAAATAAAACAAATTTTGCAAAATGGTCAACCAACATCTATAATATTGATGTTTGTGATTTATCAGACGTCCGCACTGCCACATGAAGCTTCTTATTACGGTTCTGAAGTAAGAGCTCAAGAAATATAATAAATAATATACAGGATGTTCCCAAAATAAATGAAGAAAATTGGAGAATACTGTGGCTGAAAACAGTGAAAATATTTTATATAAACGGTCCAGAATTGCTTCACTAGTAAACTAGAGCCATTCAGAGGTATTCTAGGGACACTGTTGAAGGAAATCGGAATTTGGAATGGACAGTGTGAATGACATTTTGTTCTTTATCACTACCACCTCTCCAAAAACATAAAAATTAGAATATACAAAACTATAATTTTGCCTGTGGTTCTGTATGGGTGTGAAACTTGGTCTCTGACATTAAGGGAGGAACATAGACTGAGGGTTACAATTAATATTTTGCTGGACATTATCCATCATCTTGTCTATTCTAAAAAACAGTCTAATTTCTATTAAAAAACACAACGTTTCGGGAACTGGATTCTGTCCCCGTCTTCAGGTAAAACCTACTCAGTTGGGTCCAATAGACAGAGCTAGCCCCTATCTCCGGATCTCCGGATGATGGATAATGTCCAGCAAAATATTAATTGTAACAATTTACCATCATCACAAACTTTTAGATCTTATAGACTGAGGGTGTTTGAGAACAGGGTATTGAGGAGAATATATGGACTGAAGCGACAG